TATCGTCATAACCAATTATTATTATTGATATTTCATTATTTGATTTTGTATTAATATTTGAGTGTTTTTGATATGTTAATTTCAAATCTATATTAATAATAAAGAAAAGACAATAAAAGATATTTTTTTTTAGCAAAGAACTTTAAATAAATACACTTCAATGGATAATCATCAACAGGCATTAATTTTATTTAAAGAAATTCAAGACCTTCAAGGACATGACTTAAAACCAAAAATACTAAAGCTCAAAGAGTCATTAACATCAACTCATGTCATTCATCAGCTCGTTTCAATGGGAATTTTTAAAGTAATTATTTCATATTTTATTTCATTGCCTAATGAAATTCTTCAAATAATTGAATTATTAATAAAGGATAGAGAAACTGCTCAAAGTTTTATTAATTCTTCTTTTTATGAAGAATTTCTTCCTCTTATAAATGAACAAACTCAACCAGAAATCATTATTTCTTTTTTAAGAATTATTCGTTTAGTTACAAGGTATACAAAAACAAATCCAGATATAATCATACCATTTATCTCTAATTTCATTAATCCTCAATACATTGATTCAGTTGAAATTCTTAATAACTTTTTATCTTATCATATTCAAATCTCTTACCCAGATTCATTAGAACCTTTAGTTGGTAAATTCATTTATACTACTCAACCTAGTGACTATGTTTTATCAGTTTATTATAATATATTTACAACAGGGGAAGATGCTTTAATTCATATTGATGACTTAATTAAAGTACTTCCAAGAAGTGAACAAACTAAAACATTTGTTGTTGGAATTTTCACAAAAATTATAGAGGGTTATTTATCAGGAAAGAAAACAATAGATCAAACAAAATTAAATGAATGTGTAATGAAATTATTATCTTCAAATGTTTTAAACCAAATATCGTCATTTCTTAGTAATAGTTATAATATTACAATGATTTCTTTTATATTAACTTATTTTGAATTTGTTTCCAGTGATTATAGAGGAATTAGTTATATTAAAATGAGTAATGCATTACATAATATTATTATGTTACTTGAAAATACATTTATTTCAATGAGATGTTATGAAAAGATATTTAACATTATGACAAATTGCTCAACAGATAACACATTATACTTTGCATTTAGATCATTAAATATTATTAGATATATTTCTGATATTATTGAAATGAGGAATATTAAAGACCCAAATACTCTAAATGCAGCATATAAGGTTTTGTTTGCTTATATGAATCAAGACGATTATTCATTACTCACAAATATTATTAATAAGAATGACTCAGACAATATAATTTGGTTATGCGTTGTTGCCAAAACTGAAAAGCCAAGACAACATATTGCAGAAAATATAATTAGATATTTAAATAATGATACATTATATGTAATTGTTGACTGTATCATTAAATATTTTAATTCAATAGTAAAATTAAAAGAGGAAATTAAAAAAGAATTTAAAACAGAAGAAGAGAGTTGTTGTGAAATATTAATTAAGTCTCTAATAAAAGGGTATCAAGTAAATCAAATAATATACTTATTTAATCAGTATAATATTAGAATAGAAGATAAATGGATAAAAAATATTGATATAGATTCATTTTTTATAACAATTCAAAAGAATAATATTCCTACAATTCAGTTAATTAAATTTTATTCTTTATTATTGTCATCACCATCATTAAATAATAATATTATATTATTAAATACAATATTTGAAATTAATGATAATAATGATTTCTCTATACAAAAAGAAATTATTCATTTCTTTATTTTGGCTATTCAAACATCTGCTATAGATCTTATTGATGACTTGGATTGGATAGACTGTCTTTTCACTAGATTTAGTTCTATTCCACAACTCCAGCAACAATTAATTCAATTTCTAACGATCTATAATCATATTAAACCATTTAAGAATGAGTTTAAATTAAAAGTATTAAATTTTCTAACTTCATTACTTGATACAAATCAAACTGAAGAATGTTGTTCTTTAATAATAGAACTTTCAAATTAAAATGAAAGAAAGATCAAACAAAAAAAAGAAATCATTTCAATTGAATATTTTTGATTGTATTTGTTAATTAAAATATTATTTGTGTAAATTACTCATATCATTTTTTAACCACCATGATGAGAAATGTTGAGATACAATAAATTCTGAATACCATTGTTTTGTATTATCATTTATTGATAATGGGAATGTTTCTTGGAAATGTTTTAATTCAATAGGACCATTTTGTTTACAATAAATTGTTATTCTTCCAATAATTTTATTAAAGAAATGTTCCTTTAAAGATTTTAATACTTCTTGTGCAAATTCACTTGATTTATTAGTTTTAACAATTTCATTAATACGTTCTTCATAAGTAGTTAATATAAGTACATTACTTAAATATTTATTAGTTATTCTTTTTAAGTCAAGATATACTTCTTCAAAATATGGAATTGGTAATGGCATCTTTTCATTGTTTACAAAAATTCTATCAATACTGTCCATTATTCCTAATGGTTCTACTGGTGCAACAAATGCTGAAACATTTACTTTTTCTGTTGGAAGTTCTGTTCCATAAATACTTGGAATAGGAGACTCTAAAAATTCATAAAGATGAGATGGAATATAAGGAAGTACAACTCCTTCCCATTGAAATGGTTGAATTAATGGAAGTAATGCTAATACACAATCTGTTACTAATGAGACATTCTTTCCAATAAGAAATACTGATACATTTAATAGTAAACTAGATATCATTGAGAGAATTCCTGATATTTTTGTCACTGCAAATAAACGAATAATAGCATGATCTGCAATTAATTCTATTGGTGGTTTAGTAGCTACCAAATTATTTAATGATTTTAATATGGGAAGTAACCTTTCAGAAGATGACTGATATTTAAAAGTTGGAATTAAAGGTACGGTTTTCAAATAGAATTGTTTTAGCCATTGGTCTTTAAGACTAAAGTCTAAGGCAAAAAGGTCTTTAATAATTGGGGATAATACTGATATATCTGGACAATGTGTCATAATACAATAAACTCTATTAGTTTCTAATGGCTGACTTGAATAAATACTTGACATATTTGTTTCTTCTACTAAATCACTAGGAAATTGAAGCAATTCTCTACGAGTAATACAAATACAAAACAACGGATCATCTCCTGGAATAAAAGTAATGTGAATACCTAAAGGGGAATTTAAAATAGTTTCAATATTTTCAGCAATTTTTAGTTCAATTCCTTTAGGAATAATAAATTCTTGAATTTTTTCATTTATTATCGCTTCTTGTGGGTATTTAAATAATAATTGTGATGGAAACGTTTGCACTTTACGGAAAAAATTAAATGGTTTTGTTACTCGAAATTTTGATGGTAATCCCCAAATTGAAAAACTCTCAACAACTTTTCCTGGAGCAACATTTAATGCTTGCTGAATTGGACTATGGTGTTCCATTGCGAGTATTTAAATATACAAATTTTAAGTTCTTTTATTACTTAGAAGAAATAATTTTTCTTTATTAATACAATGTTATATATTACATTTTATATTTAATTTTCTTTAATAAAAAAATCTTAAAAAAAAATTAAAAATCTGATGAAATACGAAGATTAAATTTAAATGGAGGAAATGCTTCTTTTGATCACAACTGGAATGATTATGGTTGTAATATTTGGGACTGTACTAATTGTTACATGTATAAATAAACCAAAACAAAAACTCAGTGAATATGGAAAAGTAGAGTCAAATATATCACTTCGTCCTGAATTAACCTTCAATGAGATGTGCCAAAAAATTATTACTTTACATGCAAAGCCAATTATAAAAACATCAATCGGTATTGATGTGCCTCGTTTAGCAACAAAAATAATTATTAAAAAATCGGATAAAATTATTTTAAGCGGAGCAGAAATATTTAATAAATATGAAAAAGAAAAGTATTCCGCAGAACTTACTGTTAGAGAAGTTGTTAGTGAAATGATTGAACTATTTGATGGCAATGATATGAAAGAATATTTTGAACATACTTTTGAAGATTTATTTAATTATATCAGAACTAAAACAGAAGGAGATGTTAGTAGTTGTTTTAAAAAGTTATTACCAATAGTGTTTCCTGAAGATTGTTTAACTATATCAGTTATGAAAACATTTACACAAGCATTATTTGCTGCGGCAGTAGAATATTTACTTCCGTTTAGAAGAAAACATCAGTATCATGATGGGTATACTGGATGGAATATTGAAGTTATAATTGAATCACAAGAAATTAATATTAAACATACTAAAGGAGAAACATCATATGAAGAAAATGGATTTAATTTTGAATGGTATTTAATATATAAAATAGATCGAATTAACAAAAGAATAATTTCATTAGATTTACAAATTGATAATGTTCAATTTAATAATTATCCAAATGATCTTCGTGAAGACTTTATTATTTGTATAGATAAAATTAATGCTGAAAGTCATTTAAAGGAATTAAATTAATGAAATATACTTTCATTTTATTATCTTTGTCTTCTTGTAATTGAGTTATTATTAACTGAATTGATGTAGAAAATATAATACAACCAAAATAAAAAAAAGTGACAATGACTTAATAGCGTTGATTAATAAATGGTGCTGA